GTCAACGGCATCCATCGCAGGGTCAAAAAAATATGCCTGGCAGTCACTTGCGTGCAAATTAATTTATTGTATGGGTAATTTACGAATCATCTACCACAATCATTCCTCCCTCACACAACTTGCCCCGATGACAGGACAATGTAACGACGACTAGAGGCGGGCATTTTCGTAGTGGTTGACGCGGCTGGTCAGCCCACGCCAGCATGCCACTGATAAATTAGTTTCTAGTTCACACACCAGCCCATCGCAAACGCAACTCGGATCGGTTATCAACGATAATGTCAAAAAAGCTGCATCAAAAAGGAGGCGTTTTAACCTGACTCTCAGGCTTGGGAAAGGCCGAATTAAACTCTCATCCATCAATCCTCCATGACACGACTCTAAGCGCTCCTTGATGGATTCAGAAACAGTGGATTTATCATGTTAAGGGATGCATACATTTGTCGTGGAAATATATTCCTTCTAGCGTTAGAGGATACCATACTAGCAATACGAATATTAGCTTAAAGCCCGGACACGCGTGTTTTGCAATATTCAGCCGCTGAATGGCAGAGCTGCGTCGACCTTGCACTCTCTCCCAGTCGACTGTCTGAGCCCGTCAATCAACTGTGGATGCGGTTGTGCGCGGTCGAAGGCGAATTTGCACTGCCAGTCTTCGTGTGTCACCTGCGAGCTCGTCCAACGTCATAGACAAGACTACACCGAATAACATGCTTAACAAGTACCGCCGCTAGCATGGTGGGTAATATGCTTGTTGCGGGAGTGGTACATGGCGCGTTACTGAGAAATGTTGTTTACGCGCGTGTAGCGTAGTGCGTGTGTGTAGGTAAACGAAGTGTCTCGACGAAGTCAGGACTGTGCTGCTTTATTGAAGATTCTCGTGATGGTTCATTCAGTCAAATAGGTTCATGGGATGGGTCAATGTCCTGGGGAAGTGCAGGCGAACAAACGAGTGTTAAGCTTGTGCTAAGACTTCTTATCCTCGTTCGCTGGTCTCAGTGCAACGTACACGCTAATAGTCGATCAGGTAGATGCGAAATGACAAAGTTGGAACAGACTGTAATCCGGTCCATATTGCTAGTAGTGCAGACTATTGCGGTAATTTTTTGCAGAAAGTTAGAGGTGTCCTCCTTGGTAATGCCAACTGTGAGTAGTTGTGATGCGCGAGGGAATTTGGCCGTCTCGTATGGCATTGGTCCTCAGATGTCCATCGGCGCCGATCCATGTCTGGCTCGCCCGTTGACAGTGAGGACACGATGGCAGGAGTTTAGTGTCCGCTTTATTTGTTCGTAGCACTTTAGTCTTGCGGGCTACTCTCTTTGTCTGTGCAGCAGTTACTCTGTCGACTTCGAAGGTGACTGCTCTAGGCTTTATGGCAGTGAACCCAGTCCGTCAGTCTTCAATGACGCACTTCCACGTTTGCGGACTGAGTTGCGGTTGTCTAGGTAAGGTCTTCAGGGTCTACGCAACGACGCTTTTGTCCATGTTGTCTACAAGTACCCTTAGCGATGTCATTGTACGATGGTCACATGGGCAGACGCTTGTCATTCACCCTCTCAGAGTGGCCATTTCAATACAGTTTTACCTGCTGCCTTGTATAATTTCTGAGGAAACTAACACGCATATTTTGAGTAAATCCTTCAAAAAATGTCTTTTTGGGCTCGGCTCATGAGTATATACAGGAATATCTGGTCTGAAATCCATCCACTACTGCGAAATAACTGCGTAATATTCAAAAGCTTCCAAAAACAGTTAGTGTTATTTGAATACTGAGTGGATCACCATGCCGACAGCACAAGTATTAGTTAAATGTCCATACATCCGTGTTTCGCCGATCTTGTGCCACTACATTACGCAGCTGTGGCATACCAGTGGGCCCCCAACGTTTCCCATATTTTTTCGAGTATATGAATTCCAGTTTCCAAGCTGCTTTGTTTGATTTCCGAGGAAGCAAACGCACGGACGTGGAGTAAATTCTTAGAAACTAAATAATAACTAACAAATTACAATCCCAATCTTCCTAAATAGACTTTCGAGCATAAAAACCTCGTTTTAAGAGATTTACTCCAAGTTCGTGCACTTATCTCCTCGGAAATCAAACAAGGCGGTACGAAAACGGAAGTCCATATACCTGGAAACACACGGAGGACGCTGGCCGGCCCACTGGTGAGCCGAACCTCTCACAGGTGCGTCGAGCAGTGGCACAAAGTCGTCGGAACACGCGTGTCTGGGCTTTTAGCTAGTACGTGTACTGCCAGTATAGTAAACTAATTGGTAATTCTACCTGTCTCATCGCCGTGGGTGGATGAGAACATCGGTTCTTCCACGACCTGTCATGTCGGTCATCCTGTCAGACCATTTCAGCTTTAATGGTCTGCAGAGACAGCTGATGTTGAATTGGTTCAGGTTGCTTGCCTGTCTGTCTGTATCTCGAACAGGATCACTGTCAGAACAACAGCCCTGTGCTTCTCAGGGTTCCGGACGTACTGCTCAGGCCGGCTGGTTGACTTTCGATATTCAGCATGCAATTTTGTCATCGATTTCCATGGTTCTTGGTGTTGGGAGTGCCCACACTTTCAAAAACAGGAGCCAGCTAATCACTAGGGGCCAGACGCGTTTTTTCTAACGCGCTGCCAGCATGATCGTGACGCCTTGTCGAGCCGGATCGATCCACGCATGCGAGTAGTCGATCGGGTCGTGCAGAATTTTCTTCTCAAAGTGCATTGGGCCGAATGCAGACAAAGTCCAGTAGGTTGTTATAGATATGCATTACTTTTCCAGTTTGACTTGACTTGCAGTTTCCTACTACACTTTTTCGCAGCTAGACATGCTCGCCTTCTCTGCCGCGTTGTTGTTGGGGACAAGAGTCGAGGGCACATACGCTGCGCGTGATTTCTTAGGGCCATTTGGAACTGTACCCGTACGATGAGTAAATTTGTCGTCTAATATGAGGTGAATTCCGTTCACACTGAAATGTGGTTCATTGAAGTCTGAATTTGAGTTGGGTTGATGCAGGGGCAATAATCTCGAACTGTGGATGGTCAGGCGGGAATTTGGGTAGTCGAAGTTAACAAGGTTAACATTTTGTTTATGCTGTGGTGTTGGGAAATTACTTGTCGGCTATGAAGAGGTTTCGGAAGGATGTTGGCCAGTTTCCCTTCAGTGCGGTAGTCGGTGTCAGTCCCCAACTGTTCCACTCGACAGAAGACCATCATCAAAACGCAAAACATAAGACACTATAGAACAGGGAGCGGGAATGCAGCGTGCACCAACCTATTCGTTACCGGGGATGCTTCACAGATTGTTACGCCGTCAGTGACGTGCTCATATGCAGTCATTTTGACATCCATGCAAATCGATCCGGACCTCTGAATTGGATTATGCCTCCCCAGAGTTCATGGTGATTCTCTCGATCAAATGCGTTCGCTAGATCTAAGAAGGTGAATTTCCCAAAAGTTGTTAGTAATATGCTAACGGGCCCGCCAGACTAATAAATAAAACTAGCAGTAATTCATCTTTGCCTTGCACTGGCACCTAGTTCTTATCGCTGGCCCCATGAAACCATGTTCATCACGGTGGACACTCTGAGGTAACCACCTTTCACTAGAAGGCCAACCCGGAGGAGGACTTTCAGCATGCGTATCTTTTTATCCATCACACCGCAGTCGGATTATCACAAATGACGATTTAATTGGCTGCCACACGGATTACGCGTAGCAGAGACGACTTGCGCGTCACATGCCGCCCTATCTCTACTTTCGCTGTACCTGTTCCGTTGACAAGGCAATGTCAAAAGGATTGGGAGTGGTTTCAGGGACCACACACATTTGAGAGTTAAACAGCTGTAACCGACGATGTCCACCGTATGCTCTACAGAAGACTGAGAGAGGGGAAGGTGACTTGCACTTGAAATAGTTTATAATAATAACAGACCTGCATTGCATGTACCGCACGCCCTCCTCCCCTACCTGGGTCCGGTTTCGTGACCAATTCGAGAAGACCAGAGGTGGGAGAGGCCACAGATTGTTGACACGTCGTACCGCCACACCCCTGGTTCACAGCAACCGCTTGACCAGTATTTTAAACTACAACAAAAATGGGACTGGCAGACATCTTGATTGGCGCGGCGTTTACTTACACCTATGCCTGTCACCGCACCCCAAATGTTGACATTCGCTATGGATGCGCATCCGCGATAACTTCTGCCAAATCCGATGCAGTCCACATGTTTATCCAACGCATATACCACATCGCCCGTTTTAGAAGCAGCACTATACCACACGCACAGACGAGAGTCAAAGGATGTCCGCCGACCTGTTAGATTATAACAAGGTGAAAGTATAAAACATGTAGGCGTCAAATAACACGTTAGTGAAGTTGGACACTGCCAAGAAAGCCCGCAAATGGAAGGAACTAATAAAGGATGATGAATATGATGGCTGTTTTAGTAATGATAACCACGTAGTACTCATATGAATTAGAAGGAGGGAGGACGAGATGGGAAAGGAAGTAAAAAAGAGACAAAAGGACAGCTGTGACAAGCTAAATTTAGCCTGTCGCCGTCCAAGCCTAAATTTTCATAACGATAGGCCAACCTGTTAGATTAAACAGAAAAACTGCGTTCGAAACGCCTGAAATATGACTGCAATCGCAGTGACAGTTAGTAGAGAACGCGACTCAAAATGTGAGCGGTAGCCAAGTGAATGCTTTAAGTGTAAAAAAATCGCTCGGTGCTCACCGAATCAATCTGTCAAAAATGAGACGAGTCACGACCGGACCAGTAACTTAATAGAGAAACTGCTGTCTGTCTTTATCATCCTCATTCTTCGCCTGTCCTTGATAAACCTGTTTTTCAAGCGATTAGATTGACAAGGAGCGCTGGAGATAGTGTTTCCTCAGCAGGAGAGTTCGCCCTCCAACACTATTTTGAGGACTTCTGGCAATCATCCGCGTGATGGGATGCGTGTTTGAGGTGCGCACAGCCTCTTGATCCCTTTCATTCCTTGCCAATGAATTTTTCTCTTTCCAAGTCATATTAACAAGCCCGGGTTTCAGGTTGATCCATCTTCTGGTTTGGCAGCCTGACACACGTAAACGCACATGCGAATAATATGGGAAATAACTGAGGGCAGAACTAGGATAAACGTGTCCGGGAAATGAGTTTCCTGGGGTCAACCCTGAAATTCCAATAAACACTTGAGTCAACGACAATCAACTGCTGAGGACTAATAGCATAATGTCCGTAATTAAACTTTAGTAAATCCAACGGTCTAATCATCGAGCTGCAACTCTAGCAAGCCAGAATTGCCCCTCCCATTCTTACTTGTCTTTGTCGGCAATCTCTGTCCATACTACTAGTCGATGTACGACTGTCTGCAGGATTCCACGTTGCGGCCCAAAGTGCAGCGGGACGTGTAGCGGCAGTAACAAAAACATGAGCACGCAAACAGCAAACGGCCGCAGACGGAGTCTGTCAAATATGAGGTAAGCGTTTAATGGAAAAGAAGCGCATCATTTCTACGCCGCCGGCTTCCTCTCTGGCTTTAAAACGCTTACGTACTTATATAAATGAATGGATGCACATCAGTCGACGGACTTTCCGAAGTATAAAAACCATAAATATAAACACATTTTTGTAAAATAACTGATGCGAAATTCGTGAGGGCTATCACAGGAGGCAATAACCGATATGTTAATAATTCCAAGGCGAATGGGCTATTGGCATTCGATGTGGTTCTTCTATCTCCTCTCGTACGATGCAAAGGTTGTCGCTCATACGAGGGTGTCGCTGCCTCAGGGCTTCCGGTGCGTTCGAAAATGCTGGAGGGTGATTGGCTTAGTGGCAAACAAAATTTTCTGTTTCCCTTTGGGCCTGCAGGCGAAACTTCATGCTTGTATTGTCTGCATTTATCGTCCTAATTTCCGCGATCTTATCCTCGTCAGTCCTTTGTACGCATATGAACTTCCATAGTCGAAGGTTGATAAATAATTGTTAGTTTTTTCCGTTATATTTCTTCAGCGATTTCCGCTCCCAGCATTTACAATCGCCATGCATTTACGACTGTTTGCGTTCGAACTCAGTAGAGTTATCGAGAATTTGCGTCGTTTGTGGTTTGGCCCGGGATCCGTTCGCGTCAGGCCCACCTTCGTCCTCATTCAGCCTACGTTATTTTACGACAGATGCGGATCTGACCTTATGTCTAAGATTCCTGTTATTTGGTTGCATCCGGAAGTCTTGCAAATCCTGGGGATGATCACTAATCGGTCAATGAAAGTTATTCCGGTGGGCCAAGCCTTGAGTGTCTCTAAAGGTTTGGCCGTTCTCTTAATGCAGGACTACCGCGTCCGGCTAAATGCAGGCATGTCTGGGGGCCGCGCCCTGTTCACCCAAAAATGAAAAGCGGCCTTTTTATCAGATAACATTTTTCTATTCAGTCACCGTTCTGCTACTTTTCCCTGTATTCCCAACGTAATTTAATTAACTTCGGATAGGGTTCCAGTGTGTCTGTCTGGTTTTTTTGCCTTTTGCTTTGTTTATAGCTTTGGTTGTCTGCGGCTTTCAATTGGTTTACAGATTTACTCTTTGGCAGTGGAAATTCGCTGAATATGTTTCGATTTTTGTCCTCCTGTTGTCAGCCCCTCTGCGATTAATGCTGTTTAATTCACATTGACCCAATTGTGAAAACACGGCGCCTCGGTGGGATTCAAACCCACGACAGAAAGAAGAAGGCTTTAGTGCGGACAACACTAGCCACCGGATGATTACCAGGCTCACTCCTTCCGGTGGGGCCTTGTAGCTCAGATGGCTAGAGCGTTGGCTGTACTGAAGCCTTCCCCTTGCTGTTGTGGATTCGAATCCCACCGAGGCGCCGAGTTTTTCACAATTGGGTCAATATGGATTATTCAGAATCTGCCAAAACATCCTTGAGATTCTGCGTACTTGAGGTGTCAGCTCAATGCAACAATTGCGATAAAACGCGTAGTTTGGAGTCCGCGGACCTTGTTGGTCTCTTAGTTTTGATGATAGATCTATCTTCCTGAGTTTTCAGTCAAGAACTAGTTTATTTCTGCAAGTCATTTTTGTAACATTCTGAGCTGCTGCATTAGACAAGAATTTCAGCCGAGGGAAAATAGCTTTTAATGACGATGCAACTAGTGTACATATGTTTGCCATAAAGAAACTATCGTAAGTACATTGATAAGACCACTGTATGACACACGGTCGGTCATCCCTTAAAGAGCCCTATTTCGACCCTCAGATTGACCATTTTAATAAGAGTGCATAAATGAGTCTAGATCGTTGGTAGTGGATGTAGTTTGAGACAAAAAGTCGAACCTTTCCACTGGTTAACACTCGTAAAGGTCTTGTGAACTTTGCCTTCAGTGAAGCGAGATATAAGCAGACTAAAAAGAGCTTTTACAACTAATTCTATCCTAGACTTATTTTATAAACAACACTTCAGGCGAGGACGCAATTACAAAGCCGAATTTTTACTATTATCCTAGAAGAAAAAACAACACTAACTCACAGAAATCGATGAGAATTCACGCATTCCAGGCAGTGCTGTTTTTAAAGTATGATTGAAAAAACCCAAAGGTATCATTTTTTAGTTCCTAACTTGTGTCTAAGTTAGGTTTTTGACATATTTTGGGAAATCGAAGAAAAAACAAGTCCATAATACAGAAATGTAGTTGAGTAATTTACTGAAACTTATGTGGGCATTTAAGCTACCCGAAAACAATTTAAGTGCTGCCTGTTACTTCGGCGAACAGCTTTTATAAAGGCAGAACATTTGCATCCAAAATCCTGAAAATCAAGTTTATTAATAGTTTGAGCATTTGATCTGTTACGTTTGAAATAAAAAATACTTCGATGGAGGCTGAAAGCGCCGCTATAGAATTAAAAGTAAATTGACGTATCATTTGTTCTAACGATTAAATGTCAAACATCAGTTGGACCCTGGTGTGGTGTTTATGGGTTACCTATCCTCCGAATAATTGGATCAGACTAACCCAAAGCCCAGATAATAACTGTCGTCGTGCAAATTGGTGGTTTAGTGAAAAGACGAATTTTCCAAAGTGCTGCGCATAAATCGTGCCTCAATATCTTTGCTACAATTATAATCAGCTGAACTTACAATGAGATACACCATGAGGTAATTGAAACTTTGCAATAATTTGCTGGCGTACAGAGCGTTTGGTCGGAACGCAAGGCTCCCTTAGTTATTCCACCATTGCCTGCTTATGAAAAGATAGTACGTTAAAGTGAATACTGAGAGTAAGGAAACTTGATCTAATAGTTTGATGTTTTTAATTTCAAATCTAGTTCCGCATGAGAGATAGAAATACAAGCCCGAGTGCACAAGACAGTTTTTTGTGATACACGCATGAGTAGGCGTCTTTTGCACATTTCTCCCAGACATACTGGAATGACATAGTGAATGCTTGCTTGCAAAGTACTGGGCAGTACATTCAGTTATTGTAGGTAAAAGGACATTACAGAACTTATCAACTGCATACCTTTAATCTAGTCGCCTTCTGTATGGATAATTACACTGTCATGACAGTCTTGATGGGGCATATGCTGTAAAATTCCTGACCAAATTCGGGCTAGACACCCGTAACCTAGGAATTTCGTAGAACTTAAGACTGTCATTTTTTGTCATACTTACGTAAAACTGAAACAGAAGTCTCATCATTGTCGTATCAAGTCGACAGCAGCTTATGACTTGGCGTTGCCCATCTTCCCCTACGATAAATGTTCTGCCGCGCGTGCGTGACTTTATCTCCGCCTCCGTGCCCTCTAACTGCTTGGTCTGTGACTGCACCGGTTGCGCAAACGATAGTGCTTCTTCAGACTATCACATGTTTTCTGAAGGCCATCTCTTACCTTGAGGAGGGATAACATCGGTGTTTGGTTGGTTGACCGTCCATTCGCTGCTGTAAACTTCGCTGTCATCTTTTCATCCTGATATGCATCCATTCAAATTTAAGCAAACTAAGAATGTAGATTGAATAAGAAACAAGTGGTCCTGAGGTTGAACTCGCACCAATTTTCTTGACTTGCAAAATAGGTGAGCTAGCTTACAGATGTTGAGAAGTAGTTTATTCAAACCTGTGCCATCAATCATAGGTACCTTGGCTAGTTTTACTAATTATCACGTTTTCCCATGATTTTTTATCATCTGACAATATATAGGTCGTTTTTTGAAACTGTCCGAATAGTTTAAACTTTTTCGTTTGCAATGCATTATCCTCCATTTGGTGGCTCCGGTTAAAAGCCATCTGATTGTCGTTTAGAATACAAATACCATTTTCCCTGATTATTAGTGCTTGAACAAAGCCGGGAAGAACCTTTCGTCTAATTAATACTATTTACTTGCAAAATATAAAGCTCTGGCCGAAGCGAGGATTACGTCCGCCTCTACTCTTACATTGTTTGTTTACAATGACAGGCGCAAGGAGATCAGCCGAGAAGTGGGAAGGCAGTTGTGCGGAAAAAAGCCACACGCGAAAGGAGGGGAAGTGTTGGCTAGTGGGTGGGATAAGGGAAAGGGCGATCTTGATACAAGAGGCGTGGACTCTACTTTCAAGTAATTGAAGCAAATGATATTTTATTCAGATATTCCGAAGAGTTGCTATTAATATTTTTACTCAGATACAAATGCCCTGAGATAATTAATGTATTCAATAAGTGCCACTTGTCTGCATCTTTTGACATAAAAATGGCCTGAAATTCTTGACAAGACTTTCTAACATGCGCGGCTGCTGCATTTAAAGTGGCGGCATATATTTTGTAAAGGAATACTTATGAACTTTTGGTTAGATACCGAACACGCAGCATCGTTAAAGTGCTCCTAATTGGGCATAGGTTTTTTGAGTGTGCTTACAGACTATATTAGCGTGACTGTCTGTTATCGACCTCTAAGTAAGCATCATCTATCGAATAAAAATAAAAATTCTACATCCGAGACATTGTACTACTATGGGATTTTGCCTTTTTAATGGTCACTTATAACCGTTGTACAGAGGGCGCTTTTAAATAAGACATTATGTTTATAAGAGGCTTAAAACCAGCTTAACGCGAAGCATGCCTCTATGTCACGTCCGGTATGGAGGCAGATTCTCAACTAGTTCAACATTTTTGCACTCATCATTGCAATATACAGTCAGACAGTATCTTGGTGTCCTATATGTGGGCCTATTACTGAGATTCCACGTCACTGTCGCACAAACCGTGATATATAAAGGAACCATGAAGCAAAATTATTTTGTGTTAATTTTGGGGAATGTTGGCTTTGTATGAGTTTCCACCTGTAAAATCTGATAAGTTTGATTTAAGAAAGTTTATTTATTTATCTTTTATTTTACACCGCTGTGACTTTTTATATGATATTCCCTTGCCGACATCCTAACCTCTTATCGAAAGCAATCGTACATTACTTCAAATGAACTTATCAAGGGGTCTCTTGAACCATTTCATTTACTTTGACAAGAGTACTTAGAAGCCTGAGGATAGTCGGCTTTCTACGTAAACAACGAGTGTCTCAAAACGTGTCCTAAATCGTGAACTTGGAAATACGGCCTTGGGTACATGAGTTAAGGAATTTACAATGCATAGAACTGATTCGAAATGTGCAGTTTGATACATTCAATCGGCATAATATCCTTAATCCTAACACACGCACCTGAAATCAGTCCAAAACCATGCATTGTAGATCGGGTGACACTTTGTGGATGCTACTCGCAAAGATGGGCAAAACCTATTACGTAAAGAAACAGCATCTTTCAATGGAGAAACGATTTGCTTCAATAGCCCTCGATAATTAGTTTTTAACACAACGTCAAATTGTTCTCCTCATAGAGTGTATAAAAAATTGGATCAGAGTTTTCGCCCCGATCAACTTCCGAACTGTTTTTAGTGACAGATGAACGCATTTTTGCAGAGTGCTCAGTAAAGCAGTTTAAGGAATCTTACGCCTCAGGTTCTCGGAAGAATTTAGCTACAACTCCGGATGTATATTTAGATTGACGTTTCTGATTTGTCTGCTGTTATCAGTCGACGATGTCCTAATGCCTAATGTTATGTCGACTGAACTGTCAATCACGTAATGCAACCAAGTTTTTCGATTTCAATCGACACAATTTGGGCGCGTTGTTCAGTGGCAAGGGTGCTCTTTCATGTCTTTCTCTTCTGAAAATAAAATCGACTCTTTGATATGACCTTTAGTCACTATACGAGAGATAAAAGTTGTTGGAAGGTTAAACGGATTCGAAGTTTGTTCAATTAGTCCTGTTATTTAAGACAAACCCCATGATAAAAAATGAAAACTTTGAGAAATCATGCATACTTCTGCTTAAATCTTATGAAGAAAATTATCCTGTTACCGAGTGGACCCACAGATATTTACCTACATTTACTAAAAGTTGTTGTTTAGCTGGTGACGCTTGATGGCTCTGTACCTTGGCGACTTAAGTGGGCAAAGAAGAGTGCATTCCGACATAAACTTGCTCCACATACTGGTAGCACAGGCCATACGGATGACTGCTTACATTGAAATACAATCGTAGTCATTAGGACCAGATGTCAACTCGCATGGACAAAACAACTTCTACTGGGAAAACCTGGCCCATATCATGAAACACACTTAAGCTTCTGGTTAGTTAAAGAGCAACAAAATTTCGCTTACGATGCCACAATAAACTACGCAAGAAACCATAATCGGAAAGTGATAACCTCGGAAGCAAATTCCTTTGATAAACTTAAATGAAGTGTAGAAATCCATAATCATGACATGACAAATACGTATTCGTTGTTTTATTATGCCACGTTTGATTGTATAAGGTGTGAACAGACGAGATAGAACGCTGAGGCTGCCTTTTTACATTCTACATAGCAACAGCAAATAAAGTGCACTTGAGATAAATTAAAGAACGTCGAGTTAAACCTGTTTGGTCTGCTTGAAGGAATAAGAATTAAATATAACCGAGGAGAATCATTCAGAACATTTGCGGCCGCGTTGTAGTGCATTTGATAGCACAAAAGTGTTGCTTGCATGCATAAAATATATTTCACAATTATTTTGCATGCATTTTTTCTGAGGGCTTTGCAGTAAAAGCAGGTTGACCGCAAAATGTTAAAAAATAAATAATGCGCTTTTTACTCTTTTTTTCAAAACTGTATGATGTACCGATCACCTTGAACAAAAGATCCACAGACAGCTTGGGCAAACACTAAAGTTCGCAGAAACACACCCCTTTTGGAAGTTAGAAACTGAGCCACAGAACTGTAAATAACTTGGTTTCGGGTTCAGATCAATTATTTTCCCATTTAAAAGATGTCTTGCCCATTTATGTACTTGTGGGAATAGGGCGCCGGCCAGAATTATATTCTGTTAAGCATCACTACTAGAACTTTAGTCAACTTCCCAGCCAATTCGTTAAGTATATGTTGAAACCACAGGTTTATGTTTTAAATTCACCTCGTCTTATTCGTTTTCTGGCCGTGTCCGTTTAATTGTCTGCAGTTTTTAACAAAGAAGCTCTGTTTTCCGAACATCTAAAATAACCGGCATATTTCCAGGCAAGGTTGCCTAATACGGGCACGTTAAACGCGTACAGTATCTAGTTTGCGAAACAAAACCTATTAAAATTGACTCTAAACTGATGTCATGTTCATGTGATAATGTTACGTACAAAGTAAACGCAATTGACTGAGTGTTTGGCTGTGTACCTCAAACAATTCCTGAATAGAATCCACAAAGACCGCAAGAAGACAAAAGACCATCTAAAACGTTTTCTGTATGAACGCTATGTGTGATCGGGGACGTCTGTACGCCGAAGTCGATAAATTAATTTTCAATTAAAGTCCACGGACCCCGACAACTTTTTTAAATGGAAATGATTTTGATGGAGATAGTTAAACCATCGTTTTATACGAAACTAGCTGTTGGCCAAAATAGCGGTTTCTCAAGTAAGGCGAATTTTCTTTGCTGTCACGCACTGTTGTTTGGTGAAGTTACAAATGCAATAAAATATATGATGATGTCCAGTAGCTTTCGACGACATCTAGGGAGTTATTGCTCTCGAATACACTACCATGAATGCATAGTATCGTATTTTAAGCCTGTAGGCACATATCTAGTCTCCAGAATCAAACGTGTTTTAGCTCATATCATGGTGACGGAGCTTCCACAACTAGCACCATTGTAATAATATGGACATTTAATATAAGCCTGTAGGTTTAATTGATCTAAATACCACAGCACATTTTGGTATAAATTAAAGTAAGCAACGGAAGTTGGAGAGTTTTTTCCTTTTTCGCGTAGTGATTCTCCATTTTAAACTCAATTTTTAGAGGCTACTAAAAGATACAGTTGGCAAAGGGGCACATCCGCAAACACATCTGAACAATCTATTTCCCTCCAGGAACTTTTGAATGTCTTGTAAATGCGTGATATACGTTATGTTTCCGTAAGGTTTTCGTAAGATAATGTCGCTATGTATTCTGTGAAACGCCTTTCCAAAAGTTTTTCTTATTCATTTAATGGCCAGTAAGTAATGTCATCTAGTACTGTCATAACTGACATTCGTAAAGAAATTTGCTAGTACGAGTATATTTTAAAGTGGAAAAATATCCTCACACGTAACTTAAGACAGCCTAGGATTATGTGATCAATTTTCCAGCTTTGTAAATTGCACTGGAATTGTGAGCTTACTGACCATTAACGCACATATGTAAAAGTTCTGATATCAATGCAAATTATCTCGCCTCAAAATGCGTTCAAAATGAAGGATGCATTAGGAAAAAAAGACGTATCCAAAAAAACCCAGTCTATTTTTTGGCTGGGATGTTTTGCCAAATGTAATTTCTTTCGTGCTAAAACGTCTGAAAAAATATTTTACGAGGTAGCGCTTTTAAAACAAGCTCGAAGACTCCTAAGCGCATTGATAGTTTTGTCCGTACTTAATACTGCGGCATTTGAATAGACTAAAGGCATGCAAAATATGCAGCAGTCTGAGCAGTTTATTGATGAAAAATATAAAAACTTGTCTCGTAAGCTCCAGGGAGTTATGAATGCTTCTTATAAACAATTTTTGAGACAAATGTCCCCTCTGTTTTTCAATGGACATTAAAAACCAAAAAGAGGAGTCTCAAATAGATGACAATATTTGTATTCCAAACTAGCAAACTATAAGGAACTTGATAATAATGCACGTAATAGAAAAATTCCATTCAACAAATTTGTACAAATGCGCAGAAATCTGCCATTTAGACATTGTTATAGCGAAACGGTGTGGGATAATAAATCTCTCAAAATGTGTGTTTTATAGGACTGCGAACTTTGAAGTCGTACACTAAGGCAAGTGCAGGAAGCTAATTAAATTGCAATCACTGAAATTCTCGAAGTCATTAGATTACAAATGTACTTTGATAAAAGTTCCAAGTGAAGATTAGGACATGCACCAAATGCAAGACGATTGCTGTGAGTTTATTCCTCGTTCTATCAACCCAACAATACTGTACCGTCAAAACATGTTCAAAATTAGGTCTCAATTTCTTGAGTCCGCTTACTCATTGCAAGATTCGGAAGAACCTCAAACAGTAACAAGCCGGGGACAAACCACCTACATTTTGTGGATAATATTTTCCTCTTGAACTTCACTGTCAGAACGAACTTCATTGAAAGAGGACTTTCATCTTCTCTGTTTGCAAATATTAATCAAAGCTACTTAAAAATGCCCTTTATGTCTGCAACTGTACCGAACGAAACAAGCTACACAGAACCTACAAAATTGGTAATTAAGCGGAGTATTACATGTTTGCCGACAATTTACATGTTCAAATAAACATGGATAAGGACATCTTATTTGGCAACGTTGGGACAACTTCAATTCTCATTGCCGCAACATGCCTGAACACATAAGTTGCCTAGCAGAATATCAGCGAACAATAAACAGAAGTTCACAGTTTATGGGAAAAAACAGATTAAAAATGCGTAGATTTGAGTGCGATTGGGGATAGTTGGTCAAAGAATGATCCTTTGGAGTTGTTTACGCATGACTTTTGAGTAAAAAGAATGGATGGCAGGGCAGCGGAGACAGAAGTCCATTGTTCCGGTTTTTAGCAGAATTCCAAAAGGGGTTGAGGATACCGTACTTGATTTTGCATGTTTTGCAGAACTTAAGAGTACAAATAATTTTGGGGATGACTGTTGTGTCGCTTGTCCCAAGCTTTTAAAATAACTCCGGTGCTATGAACGTCTACAAGGGTTTTTTCCATGGACAATTACGACTGCCACCGAATTTAATTGCAAACGCCTGCGTTACTGAGCCGTTCGACGTTTTTTGGTTGGCAAATATTCTGCCCGAAACACCTGGTTTTAATAAACTAGGACGCTTAGTCTATAGTTTATGCAGTACAGTCAGGGAAATTTTGTGTTATGACAAATCTATTTTTTGAAGTCGGATGGATAGAAAACTTGTTTGCCAAATCCGTTCACTAAATTAGCTGGAAAATATCAAGTTCCCACACACAGTCACTGCCAACTATTTGTCTTAAGGCTTCACGCATATCGTGCACACCAAGAAGCTGTTGACACCGTTGCATTAATTTTCGAGTAGCTGTAGGCGTTTGTTGAGAAGTCATGTATAATTTCGTTTTCCGATTTGTCTGAAAGTTGAGTTTCGCCTTCTGCTTCTTGTTATCCACAAAAAGCAGGTGATTAACTCGTTGCATCAGTCGGGAAGTCGCTGTTTCTTGCATTTTTAGGATAACTGACCGTCTTTGCCCTTCCATTAGCAGGCCTTTCCAACGAATAAAGTACTAAGTATTACACAATATTTGTCTTTGCTCAAAGTCTGCTTACTCAGGAAACTGACGTCAATAGGGTCAAAAATTCCTCAAAATGATAGCAAAACAAATTTAAAATTTAAGACTTTCTAGATGCCACGTCTCTAAGCAAATCTAAGGCAGATCCATGTCTATTTAAACCATGCTTTTAGTTGACTAACATTTTTGAAGTTTTATCGGAAATTCCTCTATTACGCATTTACAACAGGTATTTCAAAAATCTCTTACAGAGCAGACATAATTTTGCAGTCTTTTTGAAATTTTCTTGCCCTAGACAAAATGTGACAAAATTATTTTGGTTCAGGACGAGTACTCAGAATAACTGTTTCCCAAGTATTCACAGTCAACTCCGTCATTTTGTAAAAATATTTGTATGTTAATATGGCGACATTTGTCATACCAAAGCAAGGAAACTAAAAGCATATTGTCAAGAACAATAATCACGTGGGAATCTCACTTTCCATCAGGTGACACAACTTTGTCGTGAATATGGCTTCTATTTTATTTGCTACCATGCTTAAAAGTCGTGAAAACGTAACATTTTAATAATTTTTGCAATTTGATATATTTTAAAGATACGGCTTATCCGGTCAATTTAAAATCTCGTAAGTTACTAAGGTGACTGAAATTTTATTGTGTTTTTTGACTGAAAGTATTTCTTTAGTGTTTTACGGTTTCCTCATCCAGGTGTATACAAAAAATACGAGTAAAATAAACCTCACCTTTAAATGACGTCTGAATTATCGTGTCGTAAAATTCATTTCCTTGATGACTTAGTAATTTTCTAATGCACTCATCTTTGTCCCATTTCGCTGGATCCGGATTGAAAGGACAGAGTGTCTGCTGCAGTTTATGCAAGCCCCATGCAAAGGCGTAAACGGCGTCGTAGACAAACTGGATTTTAGCTTCTTGCTTAAAAGGCAATGGTAGCTTGTCTCCCAGCCTGTGTTTTGGGTTCGCATAGCAGGAAGGGATCTGATGTTCCAATTTACCATCTGTACTGGGGTTTATGTTTGATTGGGAAGTATTCGATGCATTGTCAAATGTACAACCAAAAAGTGATTCCCAGTACTTGGAAAACCAGGGATTCCGGGTGTTATCACTGCGCAGATTCTTGTAGTAAACTGAGAACTGCCCAATCTCCTCAGCAAGAATTTCGATCGTCAATGCTCCGTTTGCCACGCGGGAGTTATTCTCTACGGGCACATTCTCCCTTCCCCAACCATCACTGGCAATCCAAACGAAATGATCTGTCAGATTGGCTCGGCGAACCGCATTCAGTAACAGTTTGGTGTGATCCATTCTTGTAAAAAGAACAACCACACGAGCTTTGGAAAAGCCATATCTGAGGACTTTAACAACCTCGTCAAGATCGCGCTTCGTGGAGCTGCCTCGAATGACCTCACGGGCGGCTATGCAAACTCCTCGTTTGTCAGCCTCTTTCCAAAACGCATCCATGCCCGAGTCCCCGTAATCTCCTGCGCTGCGAACGGTGGAGACAAATGTCCAATTGTGCGCCGCTACGAGATCCGCCATGGCCCGTGCTTGTTCCACATCTGATGGAACAGTCCGCGCGAAGAGGGGGTAGGTGCGCTTGTCGCTGAGTACAGCACTTGTTGATGCATATGAGATTTGAGGTAGTTTAAAAAGTCTGTACAGATTGGCCACCAGGATAGACACCGTGCTATAAGATCCGCCTACCACTCCGCGAACAATATTCTGACTCCAAGAGGCCGGACGAGCATGTGTGGCCGTCATGCGACTAGATCCACCGATTTGGGAATCCAAACAGGGACAATCTTTGGACGGCTGGGTTTCCTGTGGTTTAGAGGTTACATCAGCCACTGTTGTTTTTACAAAGTCCAGGGACTGTTCCAAAGCGTGGTTGCCCAGGGAACACGTATCACGTATATTCGCACCCAGTCGGAGTCCAGGCAGAAGGTTTGGGTTATTGTTTATCTCATCCAGCGTGAAGAGCATTGCTTCAACACGTTGAATGCCGCGCTCAGGATTGAGCGACTGGCACTTAACTGCACCTGAACTGTGCACAGGAAAGAGACCTCCTAAGATGATATCACCAGGCACTGTGGCCACCGTGGATGTGGCCTTGGACTGGTCCAGCCCCTGAACAAAGAGCGTAAGAGAAAGGATGCAAAGGTAGACTGATTCCTTTGTCACGGTCCAGCTTAAGTCAGTTGTCATTAACAGAAGCATAGACATTGTCAAAATACCGCAGCAGAAATTCTGTCTTTGCAATCAATTTATCTACACGGGACGATCTAAGAACTCAAGAAACTGCATGATGCGTGTTATGTGGTAATACGGTCCCCTCTGACAAATGGACTTGCGTGCTGTGTTTCTTCACGTCTTTCCCCCCTCTACCTCTCTCTCGCCCGCCAACTGCAACTGTCTGCTCCTCTCTGAGACACAATCCTGTGTAAGCTAACATAGGTGAGGTAAGGAGAGAAGTTTTCTTGCACTCAGATGCAGAACGCCTCATTGCAGGCTCGGCCCTTGTCAAAGGTGTGTGTGTGTAGCTCTGTTACCTGCGCCCGTGAAGACTGGTCATCCTATTGGCCACCGGACGACTGCGTAGACCAGATGGACTTGGCTGGGATTGGTCGGACTATATAGCAGAGCAGGAAAATGAGGCATACCTGCAATAATTGTTTAAGCCCGGTAAGAGAGTTATTTATATAGTGCTTATCTCTTAGGGCTCTTTGATTCGATCCTATCAAATCTACCGTAATAGAAAGGGCGTCAGTTAGACATACAACAATATTTGCTTCAATCCTTCGTCAAAAGCTTCCCTCAACAAAACATCGGGGGGTAATATGCAAGGACGAGCTTAATCGGAACGTCTTATGCTAAAAAGATTTAATAGACTTAGCAAATTGTTATGCTCGTTAATGTTGGTCACGTATAGAGTTGAGCCACGGCTACTACCACGATTTGTCATGCTTGAGGTGGAACAAAATAGAAGATTTAGAATTTCTAACCTACATTTGGTAAGAAGTACAAAATCTTCTCTCTCAACTCAGTTTTTGACCACTATGATGCAAATCCTAACAACCATGGTAAGCTTTTGCACTATGTCCAGTACTTTTAGCCGCTATAAAGGTCATTTCCGCAAATACCTTAGAAACTCAGTTAAACAGAAAGATGTTAAGACATTGGTTGAATAGGAAGTCAGGCGTACATCCTTCTAGGCGCTGTGTATCGACGAAAATCAGACTTTTGCCTATAAGAAACAAACTTGTATAAGACAACACATAAAAAAATTAAATCCGTTAAATCATTCAAGCCTTTTTAGATCTTTCGGTCAGCTCATCTTTGGGTCTGAGGGGTCAGATTAAGCGTTGACTACTGTAGTTTGTTTTAAACTGCACATTTGTAGATTTATATATAGGTATTTGCCTGTGTCGGCTTTGATATAAGCTGCGCCTTTGTCTTTGCAGACGAGACACAGCACGCATATAAAAACAAACCACTTACGCACAAAAGTCGACCGCGAGTTCTGGAAAACAAACTTGTCAGGTGGAAAAAGGATAATTTTGCTGAGAGAAAAATGGGACGACTACTAGCGAAAATACTTCTTACTGTCCAAAAAGTGTCATATATCAACCTTATGGTTTTTAGCTCGCAAGGAAACTATATTCGGCTTGAGTGACTTTCAAATTCTACTCACTGGATATGTTAGGGTAATACCGCGATAGTTTCGGTTTTCTGACAGTGTCGAGCACTTGTGTGTCCAACGGCGACCAGTATTGTGTGAACACCTTATTAGGAATCCAGTGATTTTTATCTGGATTTCTCGTGGTGTCTGTTGTCTTACCAATTATTTCGTGGCGGTTTTTGGAAAAAATCAATAGACAGGGAGAACTTCGTTCATTTCTGGAGAAAAATCTTCAGAACCTATACGTTTCATATTTTCTGTATGTGATTTCAAAGGGATATTTATCACAAAAATGTCATGAATATTTTGCAAATTTTTTGAACTCTTTGAAACGCTGGTAAAATGTGCCCTGTTTTATTTCCTAGGAAAGTAATGCGCGGACTTGTAGTAAGTCTTTCGGAACAGATCTTTTCCAGCACGGTTTGAAATTTGATCTTAATATTTTAGCCGAATATCACGCAGTAAGTCCGCCGTTGCTGATGAATTTCAGCTCATATATTTGTATCAAATTTCGGACTGTGTATAAAGGTTTATTCAGAAAGATTTGTTTGAAGATCACACACTAACTTTCTTGGACATTCGACAAAGCGAGTTGAAACTGGAGTTTAAATACCAGAAAACACGTGGGAAAGCTGGGGGTCCCACTTGTGAGCCGAACTCCTCGAAGCTGCATCAGGCAGCGGCACATGATCGGCAAAACACGCATGTATGGGCCTTACGCTGATACCTGTGTTGTAATTACGGTATATAGCTGCATCATGCTGGAAACATTGTTGGTAAGAACGACGACCATGCAAATCGGGACGCAATGTTTATCATTTTGGGAAAAGGGCGACCATTGATACCATTGCATACGCTGGCTGTAGAGCATGCCAGTGGGATCGGTTGACAGTGCGTTATTGTGTTACGAAATAACATTGATGGTTGCTTTAGCTTGCAAATGCTTCGTGCTTTTGTATAGAGCATTTAAAGTCAGACCTATTCAAAATTCCTGTTAAGACCACATTTCTTATAAAATATAACATAGAGGAATAGAAGCGACCGCAAATTTCGAGTACTTAAACTTTGAAGTTTCACGCCCCCAGTGCTACAAAAGTTAATTTCCCTAAATAGTGGCCGAGTTACCGACTTTCGGGCTGTTGCTTGCGGTTCATAAAAATAGATCGAGTTTGGCATAATACAAAATTTTCATATACGCAGCTGCCCTCTCCGATAACGTGTACTTAATGGACAGTTGATAACTTACTCCGCGGTCTGCTGAGCACTATTCCACAATGCTTTGAAGCAAGTCGCTCTATCGATGTATATTCTGGAACAACTGCTGAGATCCTAAAGAATACTGTCAGATGTTAAAAAGTAAGATTTCCTTTCGCGGTAAAAGTCATACTATCTTATTGCTGCTACCAGTAACTGTGCATGAAGGCGGAGATTGTGATGATATAAAAAATCACGTAGGATTAGCTTTCGGCAACGTATTCAGATGGAAATGCGGAATATGATCAGCCCGAGCAACCTTACAGCTCTGTTCAAAGGTTATTTCAACAGATCATGTACACAGCAATAAGGCTACGGACAGCTCGTCTCGTAGATACCTAGATCCGCTTTAATTGAAATAGGCATGTGCGTCCCTGGATTTTCTTGCCTGCGAGCCATTTCAGTCAATGGGGAACGAAAGGTTCTTCTGCTTTGCTGCCCGACAAAGTGTTTTCGTGCCTTATATAATGAAGTAAAATGTGGCGTTTGTAAAATAAGGACTGACAACATGTTCTGTCCTCGGAACCTATTTTTATGAATCCGCCAGAAACTGTGTTTTTGCTTATATAATATTTCCCTAAATTTCTTCGCCCAGTAATTACTTGGTAGAGAGTCGTACCTCCAACTTTTGATTTAAGAATGGACTTTACTTAGAAATCTCTCCCTTTTGTTTTTTTCTACAGAATTTAATAGACATTAACTGAAAAAGAAGCATGTATTTTACGTTACTGTCTGAAAGAATCCTTTGCACTAAGGCATCATTGTAAGGAATGTTCGCTTAAATAGTCAAACTTGAAATAGTTCAAACGCCTTTCAACTCGTTGCGTGGATGTTTTAGCACTCCGCAGGAAAGTTAATGGTTTCATTTTTCGCGTTATTCTGGTCCTAAGCAAAACGATTCCGAATTGCGAGCAAACCTGGAGCCACTTTATTCGCTGAACCTACCTCGGGTAGAAGCGATGGCCAGTGTGCGACCTATTCCCTTGCGCCCCTACCTTCGCAAATGGCCTTTGGAGATGTGGACGTCAAAAACAATTATTTGTAATTCATGCGTATCCCGTGGATTGCAATTACGGGCCAGAGATCTGACAAAAGGGGGCGGCGCGTGCTCACAAACTCATAATTATTTTTGCTTATTTCGTCCATCTAAAGGTTTAGCGTGATTTTGCCCATAGTGTACTCAATTTACAATGCCTCAACTTGTTAAATTCTCTTAGACCGCATACTTAACATTCAGTCCTTATAGCATGTTTGATTTCGCAATAGCACGAAGCATTAAATAGATTTTCACTACTCAAGATTCAAACATGGCGCCGGCTGCTCAGTATATGAAGATCATTACGGCCAATTTTCCCATATTATCTAGTCTAAAGATGTGGAAATGTGGAAAAGCTCTGTGTGAAAATGTTTTATTCAGTCTCCGACAGCATACGCCGACGCAAATACACTGCTGCCAACTTAATATTTGCTGTGCAGGGAGCATAATTTCGGACAAGATTCTTTTCCTTGCAGAAGGTAATATAAAATCATACTTTTTGCAGACTAAGCGTCTGGCAACGACCAAAAAATCTGTGGATATGAATGTTATGCAAATTCTGAAAGCACTAATCTCAAGGCAAATATAATAACGCCAATGATTTTACATGTTCCATTCTGTTAAACACACACTTCAGGCAACTCAAAAGTCCACCACTGACCTGGAATGTGACATTTCATTAACTAACCCCTTTTTGGTGATAACTGATATTTTCTTTAGGTCCGTGAAAATATAAAATGTGACCAGTAACATTTTGGCCGCTTAATCTGCAGGCTCCAGAATATGCTGATACGCATGGGAGAAACGTTTAATGATCTCGCTGCTAAAAAGTAGTCCAACATGGATCATTGGCTTCGAAGATGATCACATGTTCTTAGACTTGAAAGTCTGAGGCCCATGTAAACATAAATACCAAACATCAGGACACGTTCTATGCAAACACTATAAAGCTTCTGTCAAAAATTATTTTATAGAGATATAAGTGTCTATCGACACATTGTTATTTCACTTATTGAAGGCGAACGGAAAACATACCCAGATATGCTCAGAGAATTAAATATTTTTCGTACGAGTTCATCCGTCTTTTGAGGCCAGTCTGGATATTGTTTGAATCAAGTAATGCAAACGTGTTAGCTGTGATAATCCTTTTGAGGTTAAACTTGAATTTTTAAATAACGATGTTAATTGTCAAAATACGTGGATCCCTTAACTTTGCTCGGCCATACTTTACCACAG